AAAATAATGATGGAATTTAAATGTCTCTCCACTTATTGAAAGAAGTAATGAAAATAGGGCCTGGACAACAGTCATAAAATTCTTCCTTCGTGATTTTGTAAATGAAACAATTATCTTTTTTTACATTATGTATCATACCTCCCACAGTATGGAATCAGGACAGTGTGGGCAGAGTCACAAGGGGACATCACTGGTGACACCTATAATGGGCAGGCCCACCAAGAAATGGGGTGGGACCTGCCCACTGACTGCCTCCCAACTCCAAAGTTTGGGCACGTGTTACGATGCGCTCACGCTGTTCTGCCCGGGGCCAGTTCCCCGGTGTCCCAAGATGCGGGAGAATAGGAAACTGACACAGCACAGGACCAGGACTGTGCCGACAACAGCAAGACTATTGGGAGGCCTGATGTATATTGATATTTTAAAGAAAATTAAACTTTTTTTCTTTTTGAGCATTCGTGGTGGATCCGACTCTACTGTTATCTGACCAACTGCTACTCAACCTAACTTGCCTGTTGCTGTTATTGCCCTGTGTGAAACTGCAGAAGCAGGCAAACTAGACAAGTTGCCATGGAAACCCACTAGCAGGCGCTGTTAGCTCTGGCTATGGAGTGTAGGAACGGAGTGAGATTACACTTTAAACCATAAAAATGGCACACAATTATTTCTTTCATTCCCACCACATGAAATACAGTACTGCTTTGTAAAACGCGCCAGTCCCACACACAATCTAACCTTTGTTGTCCACATTGGTTTGTGCTCTGCTGAGTTAACCATTCAGGTGTCAGGAGAGATTATGCCTTGTGGTCCCAATGGGTAATTGGTGATTCTTAATATGTTTTGTGGCTTTAACCTCTTAAATATACCTGGCCCAGGTGTTTGTTCGAGCTGGGTCCATAAACTCTGGATAAGAGGCTAACCCTCGATCCTCTCTCCAAAGTTCTGCAACACTGCTAAGTACATCCCAGAAGCCTTCATTTATACCTTTCAAGGACCACTTCAGTTCTAAAAGTTCCCAAAGGTGAACTAATGTTCTTAGTCCACTATTCAGGGCAGGCCTCAAACTGGGAATTTACCAAGGAGGCAGACTCTGGATAAGGACAACAGTTCAGCTAAGTTGTAAGCAACTGTTAACAGTGCTTCATAATTTGGATATCACTAGGGTACTGCTGGAACACTTTACATGTAATTTACACAGGTACATATTAATGGGTGGATTTGCAGCTGCCTCATACACCGATGCTTTTCCCAGATGGTATTATCAACTAATGCAGTGCAACTAAGGATAAACACCAGCTCTAAATGGGCACTCAAAATGCCTCACCAGAGCAATACTGACACTTCTGCTCTCAAGGTTTTGAGTGAAAAATCAATCATACTAAAATTGTGTTGTGATTCGTGGAATGAGTAAAAATTACTATGTCCACTAGGTGGTGCTGTTAGTTCATTTAAACAATCTAATAGTTTTCAATAGAAATTTAAAGGGACACTATATTCACCTGAACAACTACAGCTACAGCATAATGTAGTTGTTCTGGTGTGTACAGAATATCCCTGCAGGCCTTTCAATGTAAACACTGCCTTTTTAGAGAATGTGCAGCACTGCCGTTCAGCATCTTCACACTCTGCATCTCCTCATAGAGATGTGTTGATGAGTTTCTAATTGGCACAGTGCTGTATTTTCCGTGCATGCACAATAGCCTCCCAATGCTTTGGATAGGCTGAGATCATCAAGACTGATGATTTCAGCCAGGGAGGCAGAGCGGGGGCAAAGACGGTTGCGACAAGACCCATGCGGTGCTGGAATAAAGATAAGTTGTATACCTTTTGTAAAGGGAGGCAAGGGGGCTAGCCACCTAAAATTTGTTTTTAACATTAGAGTGTCAGGAATACATGCTTGTATTCCTGACTCTATAGGGTTTCTTTAAATTGAAAACAAGGGGGAAAAAAGTCTGATAGATCATACTCTGCACACATACTCTTCAAATGTACAAACAAAAATATGTATTGCATTCATCAAAATTATTTTATAAGAAATGTAATAACTCAAAGCTAATGTCAAAATAATATACTCTTCAGCATAGATTTTTGAAAACAATTATTAGCATAATGAAGCTAATGTGGCTAAATGGAAAAGTTAGTCATGAAAAATATGTATAAAAATATAAAATAAAAAGAGAGCGAAGAAGACAAAATCTTGCACAAACCTACTACAACTACTAATGACCATCAAGGGAGTTTAAGGGATAGATAGTTTATCCCCCAGAAGCATTTTCACTCAACTCTTGGGATAAGTATATCTGCTTTAAACCAGTATAACTGTCGTAGGGCAAATACAGCTTGTTTCTAACTGGAGAGAGAAATCAGTCCATATTTTGCATGCTCGCTGTCTTGTAGCTGCAGCAATTTTTGCCATTTTTAATACCATTAACTTTCAATAATGCTAAATTGTTGTAGTATTTAGAGTGACACTTCATCTATTTAACCTTGTAACAAGATAGTATAATGTGCACATACCATGTCATACTTGGAAACAAGATAAAACTTGATGTATTCTTCCTAGTAAAATACATTTTAAAATGCAAATCAGGTTAATCAACATGATTTAGAAAGTTAAAACACATGCAAATTGATTCCACTTTTTGTGGTCAGTGGAGGTAATTATAACTAGGTAGGGCTAAACAAATGAAACCAAAACTTTTCTCCACCCCTTGACCAGTGAGACGGAGGTACTACAGCTAAATATTGAACTTTTGGGGGGGGGGTGCGATTACGTAGGGCGTGAATGGGAGCGCCTACGTGCTCCCGGTGAGGTGTGGTAAGCGGTGCAATGCTGGGCGGTATGTGACTCGGCATCCCTCCGCCCGAAACCCGAGTAGCGCTGGTGAAAAAAGTTGGAGTTTACAGGAAATCGTAGCTGAAAGTGCAAAGTGCCCGCAGGACTGGAGAAACATGTAATGCTGGGCGGTATGTGACTCGGCATCCCTCCGCCCGAAACCCGAGTAGCGCTGGTGAAAAGTTGGAGTTTACAGGAAATCGGAGCTGAAAGTAGAAAGTGCCTGCAGGACTGGAGAAACGTGTAATGCAAGGTGGTATGTGACTCTCTCTCTGCCCGTCCATCCACCCAAAACTTGATCAGTGTTGGTGAGGAAATTCGGGGACTAAGGGGAATTGAGCTGAAGTAGGAAAGGTGCTTGGAGGACTGGAGGAGCAGGAGGGGAGCGAGATACATAAGCCTACAACGTGGAATATACCGAATTCAGGAAAATCCATGTGGCTGGAGAAAAAGCAGAGAATCCCAAACACATAAGAAAAACCAACTATTACCTCAGACAGATAAGTGATATAGATATATATATACATATTAATTTAGTTTTTTTCTATTATTTGGTTTTCGTTCTGTTTTTCTCTTTATCATCCTGGTTAACCTAAACTTCCTCATTCAAGATAGCTTCCAAAAAAAACTCAAGAAAACAAACGTGTCGCCAAAAAAGGCAAGAAAGAGGGAAATAAAATAGAAAAGCGTTTATCTTTTTTTACACCCCCACATAACTCTAGATCAGAACTAAAAAAAAAAAAAAAAAGAAAATGAAGCTCTGACAGCTCTTAACAGAGAAGAGAAAGAGACAAGTGAAGATCTTATTAAAATCATACACCTGGAAGAAAACAGGAATATCTTAAAGCCTGTTTTGAAAAACAACTGGACAAATCAAATCAGAGATACAAGTTAACACAATGGAAATAAAGAAAGATCTGCAAGCTCTGGGGAATCGACTAAAAATAAACAAAGAAAAAATGGAATCATCAGAATTCCAATTGGCTCAACAACAAGAAAATCAAAAAGAATTAAAAAACAAAATTACTGATATAGAGTCAAGACTAGCAGATGCAGAAGATAGATCCAAACGGAACAACTTGAGATTCAGGGATATATCAGAGCAAATATCAATTGACAAGCTGGAAGATTATCTAACGGACTAAATCTAAAAATTGGGCATCCAAGCGCTACCTCTGATGGAAAGATGCCACAGAACAGCAAGACCATCCAATCTTCCAACGTCAGTCCCTAGAGACGTGATGGCGCTCTTCTTTTCTTCTAAAGTCAAAGATCAAGTAATGAAGTTACACAGAAATAACACACTGCAAGATCCCTATAAGATAAGATTAAAATCTTCCCAGATCTATCATACTATACAAGACCTAGAAGAAAATTTTTTGCACATCAACAAGCCAATTAAGAGACAAGAACATATGTTACAAATGGGGCTTCCCTTTGAAAACTTCAGTATACTACCAATCTAAAGTATTTGACTTTCAGGAGCCTGACTTACTTTGCAAATGGACACAGGGCAATCTTCCCTAAAGATCCCTAAAGCAGACAAAGAAGGAGAAAAAAGGGTAGAGATGGATGAGGGATGCACCTACAATAGGACTGGCGAGTTTAACGAACGCAAAGAAAAAGAAGAATGGAAGAATTTAACATTACAATTATTTATATTGATTTTTATTTATTTTTTTCTCTCTTCCCCCCTCCCCCATAATGTTATTTATTACACACGCTTTTTAGCAACTGTATTGAAGGGGTAAAAGTTAATATATGTAACATCTTTAGTGTAGTAACTGGCAATACTACCGAATGTCTTATTTAATTGAAACAAGTATAGAGAGAGTAGATAGATTGAGAAGGAACTGTCTCAGTGCTCTCACAATTGGTAAAATGTGTCAAAGGACAAAAGCTCTGATATAGGTTAGGAGTTATTACCAATATCTAAATAAGGATTTTTCAAAATTAAATTACCCACTATTAAAATATATATTATAAAGCCAAATGGTCTCACAATAAGGATATATACTATTAATAAAGGGTTAATTTAGTAGACTAATGATAAAAGATTGGATATGATCCGTCAAATAGGGAAAGATTACTTGGGGAAAGCAGTAAATATTACAAGCAGAAAGAAATGAAAGAGGGGAGGAAAAGTGGTAAGGGTAGGGAAGCTCTGTAAAACGTATGAATAGAACAATTGAAATAGGTTTAGGTTTAATAATTTTGTAAAATAAGCATGCGATCAATGTTATACACAATACACATAAATAACGAGACACTTATTAAGGTTTTAATATCTCCCATTTAAAAAGGGGGGGAGGGGGAGTAAAATGTATTAAAAGTGTACAAACGATAATCAAGGTGGACAATAGATTGTAACACTAGAAGAGTTTTGAAATGCACTATAAAATTTAATTATTTATTCTATTTTGCTGTTGTTTTTTTGTTTTTTTTTCTACTATATGGTGTGTAATAGAGCTAAGTAGAACTACTCTATAAGAATAATTAGGAAAATATGAAATTATACCGGTATAGGCCTAGGGAGAAATTCAAGAGTAAATAACGAGAGAGGTTGGCCATTATCTATAAAAAAAAAGATACTTGAATGAAAAGATTAAGACAAATAACGATTTAGAACTATAATTCTACCAATTTTAAGACGTCAAACTAGGATGTTAATCAAAATAATAGCTGTTGAATTAACACTGTAAAGGGTGATTAGTATACTATCAGAGCCCCAATAAATGATGAGCAGATATAAAAAAAAACTTTTCATAAAAAAATTACTAACTAAGCAATAAAAGTTCCTCAAACTAGATTATGTCTGTGGCACATCTGAGAGCTTAAGAGTTACATAAATAATTTCATAAATATACACGTAGACTTCAAATATGTAAATATGTATATACATTTCAATTCTACGTGCATAGTTATGTAATATTTTTACATAATTAAGTAATTTTATTGATTGCAATTTGGGGGACCTGCCTGACAACCCAGGCCAAAAGTCCAGAGAATTTAATTTGTGAGCACTATATTTAACCATGTAACTTTCCAATACACGCTAAAACCTGTACATAGGGGTTACTGTTTTACTCGGTAGACTTTGCTGAACACAAATATTAGTGATTCAAAACAGTAAAACAGTAAAACATATCACAGTTATGATATCATTGTTGTGATACATTTTACTGTTTTGAAACACTAATATTTGTGTGAGAATTACCCCCATAATGGCATACCATTTGCAAAAGAAGACGACCCAAGGTACTGCAAATGGGGTATGTTCAGTCTTTTTTAGTAGCTAACTGGCCAAAGTTAATTTTTGCATAATTGTTTTTTGCATTTTTAACACACAAACAAATATAAATGCTAACTTTGGTCAGTGTTTGTGGCTACTAAAAAAGACTGGACATACCACATATTGCTTACCCTTGTTTACTTTAAAAAAATATGTACATGTGAGGTGTTATTCAGAGATTTATGACAGATAACAGTTTTACAATGTCACTACCAATAAATTTTAAAATATATATTTTGAAACAGCAATGTCCTATATAGACCTATAACTTGCAAAAAAAAAAAGCTACAACATTGGGTATTTATAAACTCAGGACAAAATTTAGAAACTATTTAGCACAGGTGTTTTTTTGGCGGTTGTAGATGCGTAACAGATTTTGAGGGTCAAAGTTAGAAAGTGTGGATTTATTTTTTCATCATATTTTATAAAAAATTTTATAGTAAATTATATGATATGATGAAAACAATGGTATCTTTAGAAAGACCATTTAATGGCGAGAAAATTAAATCCTATCTCGTAGACAAAAAAAAGAGAGGTCCCTATACTATTCTCTAACAATATAAACCCAATCATCCAATTCCAAGATATAGATAAAGAGGGCAGATGGATAATTATAATATGTGAAATACAAAACATAATATATACAATAGCAACCCAACCAAGCCTTGTTAAAATATATAGATAAATTCATTCAAAGAGTTGAAAGGTTTAGGTTGGGCCAGGTTGTGATTAGAGGTGACTTTAACTTTATCCAAGATCTAGGTATGGACCAAAAAACAGAGCGAGGTAAGAGAATAGATGGAAACACGGTGAAACAAGCAGCGAGATTATCCCAGATAATAAGGAGGGCATCCCTATTAGACATCTGGAGGCTTATGCACCCCAAAGAAAAAGACTATACTTGCTTTTCTAAATCGTACTATACCTACTCTAGAATAGGCTTCATACTGGGAGATATAGATACAATGGAGATAAAAGCATCTACGATAATAATTATTCCTTGGTCCGACCACAATACTGTGATGGTTGAATTAAGGGATTCGTTTGGAGGTTTCAGGCCCGACTACTCCTCCCTGAGGAGAATAAGAAATACATCGCTGAGATTATAACCCGATACTTTGAAGAAAATACAGACCCGGAAATATCTCCAGATATGAACTGGTGTGCCTTCAAATGTGTTACTAGAGGACATTTAATTTAAACTAGCTGCACAAATGAACAAGAAACGAGGTGAAAATCTTAAGCAATTGCACATAAAACTAGCACAATTGGATAATGAAATAAACAATCCCCTAATAAAGAAACAACAGATAAAATTTAAGCCATCTCAGCGATGTATTTGTTTCCCTTGGGTAGAGTGGTCGGTCAAGGAATAGACTCTGATTGGTTTGAAGTCACTAACGGAACTCAACAGGGTTGCCCACTATCTCCCCTTCAGTATGTTTTAACAGCAGAACCGTTAGCAATGGATATAAGAACAAATCCCAATATTCAAGGATTTAAGATAAGTAAAAAAGAAAACAAGATCTGCCAATATCCAGATGATACATTATTTCTGCTGTCTAATCCTTCCTTTTCAGTCAACACAGTAATGGAAGTTATACAGAAATACAGTTACATATCAAATTATAAGTTAAATATCAACAAAACAACAGCTATGCCCTTCTATATGAATCAACATGAAATAAAACAGTTAGATAGCCACTATAGCTTCAAATGGGTCAGAAAGAAATATAATTACTTGGGAATAAGTATAATGGCCTCTCCTAAAGAACTGATGGAAGACAACAATTTTTTCATTTTAAGACGAACTAACCATCAACTAAAAACATGGAAAGCATTAGAAATCTCCTGGTGGGGTAGCGTTAACACAATAAAGTCTTATGTTATACCTAATTTCTTGTACCTATTTAGAATTATTACTTTAAAAATACCCACACCCTGGAGATGTTGAATACTTCATTTTCAAATTTTATTTGGTTAAATAAAAAACGCAGAATAGGTAGAGACATTTTAGATCTAAATAAGAAACATGGAGGGATTGCCCTAAATTAGAACTTTATCATAGCGCCTCCTTACTAATACACATCGTGGTGATGCATCTAGATCACTATAAATCCCAGGGATGGTATGAGATGGAAGAAAGGACGATAGTCAACCCAATGAAAATTATCAACTACCTGTGGTCACATAGTTGCAGTAAATACAATATTAAACAGAAAGAATGCACTATAGATAATCGAATTGTACAGAATTTATTGAGCTACTGGAACCATTTTAAAAAATATTCAAACTTAAAAAAATAAGATTTTGCCAGCATTGCCTCTCTCCTATTTGATGTATATGATGGAAAATCTAGACATTACAAAGTGGATACAGCTAGGGGTTACAAAGGTCTCAATGACATGTAATGAAGAGGTCCCCATAACGTTTCGAAACTTACAACATCTTTATAAGATTCCTGATCAGAAGATGTATAATTATATTAGAATTAAAAGTTTTTTTTAAATCAGCAATATTCAAGGGCAAGTTACCAAGCCCATTGGAAATACTCAATAATGTCATTGGGGAAGGATTCAAAATTATTATCGAAATGTATTAAAGTTATGATGGAGTCTAAAGTTAAAAAATGTTCTAAAGTTAAAGAAAAATGGTCCAGAGATCTAAAAATTGAGATAGATGCAAAAGAGTGGCTTATTGCTGTTCAAAAGTTATATCCATCAGTACGCTGTCTTAACATAATAGAGACCCAATATAAAATAACAAGAATATGGTATATAACACCTTGGAAACAAATGAAGATGTATCCCCAGGATAAATATAGGTGCTGGAGATGCGGTGTTGAGAGGGCAGATGAAATCCATGTATGGTGGGAGTGTCCAACAATTAAAAGAGGCTGTGCCATAATACTTTCTGTAATTAATAATCTGCTTAATTTGAAACAGATACGGACAGCGGAAATGGCCCTTCTCCTCCCAAATCTACCAATACTTGCTAATAATAAAAAATGGTCTTTGATTTACATGTTGATGGCTTTTAAATGTTCTATTGCTAAAAATTGAAAAACTGATAAAGTAGACATGTGGCACAAATTAAAGAAAGGGTGACATTTCAATGCAGAATGGAACGTACAATCGCGTCTAATTTTTGTACTAATCTTAAGAAATACAATATATGGGACAATTGGATAACAAGCCTTGATGACCAAATAAGGGAGTTTTGAGACCCTGAAAACATTTAAATACTCTTTTACCTCTTTCGGTATTAACCAAAGATTTCTCATTCCCCTGTGCTGCTCCAGCTAAGATTTAGACCTGTCTTTGTATCTGAAAGTTGCTTGTAATTTTTTGCACTTAATTAACAAGACACTTTTATATTGTAAAAAAAAAAATTGACCTTTTTAGCCCATTGCATCACTTACTTTAATAGCACTTAGCATTATTTTGATGATGGTGCCTCCAGGCCTACCCTCTCCCCAGGTTCCTAACTTTAGGTCTCCTTTCTCCCACGAGCATGAAAGGTTAAAAACCCCCTTAATGAAAAATGATTCAATAAAGACGAGGTTGTAAAAAAAACCCCCAAAAAACACACCACCTTTTACAGTATTACTTACCTTAATTCCAGCACCCAGATTCCTCACCAGTGGCTAGGTCTCCTCCTCCCACGATGTCACGCAGATGGAGGGCCTAATGCATATGCGTGGTGAATGCCACACTGGCATTAGAGCTTCCCATTGGAAAGCATTGAATTAAAGCTTTCCTAGGGGATATTGAAGACGCTGGATGTCCTCATGAAAAGTATGAGGACGTCCAACGTTGTTTCACCAAGTTATTCTCCATTTGAAGCCAGGAAGCTCCTCTAAAGGCTGTCTGGAAGAGAAACTGCAATGTTTTTCTTGTGTGGTTAAGAGGACAGGGGAACTTCACCACATGAGATGAAGTGGTCGCTATGCATAGGATGAGGTAGAGGCAATACAAATGCCTACACAGACTCTTTTGAAATATTTCATAATTGGAGCAGTGCTTCAAAATCTCCACACTGTAGTCCCATCAGCAAAAATAGAGAAAGGAAGGAGTCCTAAACAACCAATATAAGAGTGCACACCCAGGTGCTACCACATTTTATTTTGAGAACAGAGTATAAAGCGCAAATGTTTCGGGCAATAGCCCTTTATCATTGCTAATGTCCTAAAGTATACAATGTGATACATACAACAATGTGATACATTCTTATACATAAGAAATTGCTCACAAAAACCAAAGTGCCGCCCCCAGCAATCAAACTTCAATCAGAATCAGCTCTATGGAGGTTCTCCGCATCACCCGGCGATCACCACATCTCCAGTGACTTCCTCGATTGTCAGACGCGTGCCACGTCTGTTGCGCGTGACATAATCATGCTCTGTTGCTAGGAGATGAGTAAACAAACGATCGTTCAAATGCATACAGTGGAATTAACCATACAGATCATCAAATCTACATAAAACAAAGCTATTCAATCTCCTGAAAACATAAATTTAAGCTTCACTCTTAAGAACAACGCTGTGTCTACATATTTATATTTATAGGCAAAAGGGGGAAGCAAGAGAGACCAAACAGCTGACAAAGGATACCCAACATACATACAGGTGCAAAACGCCCATTTACCTAATGAAACCTTGAACATGGAGTGAAAATAAAATATAAAAAGAACACCCTCTCTAAAAGAAAGCTATACAGCATGCCAAAAAAGATGGAAAAAAACAAAGGTAAGTAAAGAGAGACAGACTGGCAAATGGTAATAGAGGACCATGCAAGATAAGATACATAGCCAAATCCAAATCCAAATCGGGCACATACTAGATGCACCTTCTCTAGTAAGTAGGGGCACCGGCACCTTTTCAAGCACTTGGTAACTGTGAGACGTTATGCCTTTTTTCTTTAAAGTGCCGTGCGACTGGTGCGTCAGTAGTCTATACTACGGATCAGACTTTTAGGGCACATATAGTTTTACCCACATAGCCCAGACCACACGGACACTTAAGAAGATAAATCACATGTAAATCTGGCATGTGAAAAACCCTTTAAGCCTGATCTGTTGGCCTGTCCTGGGGTAGGTGCAAAATTCACCCTTAATAATCCCACTGCAATGACTGCAGCTCAATTAAGGGTATGTCCCATGCACTGGTTTTGAAAGAGAAGTTTGTTTAGTGTTAGTCAGACAGTCAGCCCTAACTATTATATCTATTATAGATCATCCGAGTTTATTAGCAAATATTAGCAAATCATGGGGGATTCTGAAATAGATGTCCAGTGTGTTTATCAGGTTGTAATATAAACCAGTTATTACGTATAATGTTCTGTATTTCAGGTGCAAGTGATTAGAAAGTACTTACAAATGGTATTCTGTCCTGTTTGGGTTTGTCTGTTGTAGAAAGTAGTTTCTCACGGTTAATGCCCAAGGCCTTCTGTTTACCTTTTTGTAACAGGCGGGGGCTATTACCCTTGCCCAAAAACGTTTGTGAGAGATCTGTCAAGCGTTTATTGACTACGCTGTTGTCGCTAACACAAAGCTAAATCTGTCATAAAAAGGTTTGCATACGATGGTAACGTATTCGCACCCATCGCAGTTTCTTTGACTTATTAATTGAGGATTGACATATACCTGAAAAAAAACTTTTTTAAGACAATTTCCAATAAGGTAGTGACAAAGAGCACATTTTTTCGTCTTTAAGATGAAGTGGTCGGTGTGCCTATAGTGTCTATTTAAACAGTGAAGTAGACTATGACTAAACTGACAACAGTAGAGCTGCAATGGTTTTACAGAGCAGTTTTACTTATCCTAAGAAATGAGCAGAACTTCTCTTGGAGGGTAAACTATTTATCTCACAAACTCCTGAAAGAGGATGATAAGCCGGTAACTGCAGGCAGACCCAATAAAAAGTGCATATGGAGTTACATTTAAAGTGCTTTTTGTTTTCTTTTGCATTGTTTATTAACAGAATATAGAGGGTAACGTTCCCCTTATAGTGTTACTTTAACTGCAATAAAGGAAAACAACCATTTAACATCATTCCTATCGTGCAGGAAGGCAGACCCATTGCCATTATCATTTGCAATGTAGGAAGAATTAGTCACTTGCCATCATAGGTGTGCGCACGGGGTGTGCCTGGGCACACCCTAATCCCTGCGGCCCGCACTATGTGCCTCCCTGCCTGTGGACCGTGAGGGAGAGCTCCGCCGGGTTCCTCTCGCGAGGTTGGAGCGTTGCCGCGGCAATGCTCAGATCTCGCGAGAGTGAACTCTAGCCTCACAGGGATGGCAGCAGCACAGTCCCCACTCCCTACAAAAGGTAAAAAGGGAGGGGGGATATTAACTAAACGGTCCCCACACCACACAATACACATGAACAGCACCCACACACACATAGCACACACACTAACAGCACCCTCACACATACACACACACAGCAGACACTAACAGCACCCTCACTGTCATGCGGTATCTCTTCCGGGTTCGGCACTTCCGCATTGCGGAGCCGGCCCCGCCCCCTTCTGACGCGGCTCTGACAGTACTTAGGGAGACCGCGCCAGGAAGAAGGTGATTGTGGGACCTACTTCCGGGTATACACACCGGCTCCACAAGCCGTCCCAGCCTTTGAGCCAATGCAAGGATTGCTGCAAGCCATAGAGGATTACTGGAGAATTACGGATACTTTGCTAATTTACAAGTGGACTATAACTCTGAACTCTTGGAGGACAACTCACCTTAACCTTAAGTATATCTTTCAACTATTGTCTGCAATATCATTTATTAATGAACCAATTCCTGCTTGCTCAAATCTTCTCTGCTTCAAGTTACTAATTATATGGAGGACAACTCCCATCATGCTTATTTACTATGAACTGTTTCTTGCTTTGCAAATACTCTCTGCTACCTGCTTAATGTTTCTATTGAAGATTATTCCCAGCAACATAAAGAATCTTATTAAAATCTCCTCTGAGGAAATACTTATTAATGAACTTTGTATTGTTTTATAACCTGCACTTTCTTCTTATTGGATTATTGCCTATATGCAATTCATGTAAGTTTATCACAATCATTAAAACTTTGTTTGATTCTCAAATTGCCAGCAATCCTCTCTTTTCTTAAAGCTACAGTATTGATACTTTAAAGATTCTTTGTTTCTTTACTATTGTAATTAAGGAGTTCTACAAGCTGCAGTTGAGTTCCAATCCAAATCACCCAAGTAGCATAACAGAATCACCAAGCCTAAAAATGGAACCAGCAGATGCGAATTCCCAAATTACCTATTTAAACCACAGGGTTGAAATACTCACACAAGGCATGCAGGATTTGCAAATTGCTAATGAGAGACTTCTTTCCTATATTAGAGAAATGCAAAATAAAGTTACACATTCTTCAAGTGACCCTGCTGTCTGCAATCCTGAAATATTTTATGGAGATCGCTCTAAATAAAGAGAATTTTTTTAATTCATGCAAATTATTGTTTACTCTCAAACCCAGGGCTTACTCCTCAGACAGAATTAAGGTTTGTTCAATAATTTCCTACTTAAGGGCTGAACCTATGTCTTGGGCACTTTCATTTCTGGAAAATGAAGATCCTATTTTGGATTCTTTAGATAATTTTATTGAGTCAATGTCATTACTTTATGAGGACCCTAATAAACAAGCTACTGCTGATCTTACTATTAGATTATTACAACAAAGAAATCGTCCTGTGGAGGATTATATAGCTGAGTTCAAAAGATGGGCTTCAGAAACCCAATGGAATGATATAGCTCTACGTAATCAGTTCCGTTTAGGATTATCTGAAACAGTTAAAGATGAATTATCTAGAACCACTCTTCCCCCAACGCTTGATACATTAATTCAACTCTCTATTAGTATAGATAGAAGAATCAGAGAACGTAAAGCTGAAAAGGCTCTCTCTAATTCAGTTTGGAAAAAACCCAGTCCACCTTTGCTAATGCCTAATAAACCCTTGCAACCGAGTGAACCTATGGAAGTTGGGTTTACTAGGGGACCTTTGTCTATGGAAGAAAAAAACAAGGAGGAGAGACTTAAATCTTTGTATGTACTATGCCTCTAAAGAACATCTCTTACAAGAATGTCCTCTTCTAAAACACTCTAAGGGAGGTAAGCCTAAAATTAATACCTCAATTCTAAAAACACTACCCTCTTCCTCCTCTCATCAGTTTGCTGTACCTCTAATTTTACAGTGGGACAAAGAAAGAATCAAGACTGAGGACATTATTGATTCTGGTGCTACGGGGATATTCATAGATTCTTCGTTTGTTGAAGCCAATAAAATTCCTTGTCTGAAAAAAGCATCTTTTGTCTCCATCAGAGTTATTGATGGATCTGTAATCCCCTCTGGTCCCATAAAAAATGAAACTATTCCTATTTTGACCACTATTAACCCCTTAAGGACACATGACATGTCTGACATGTCATGATTCCATTTTATTACAGAAGCTTGGTACTTAAGGGGTTAATAATAACCATTCAGAATTTCTTGTTTTCGATATTATAAGATCCCCCCTTTCACCAATCATCTTAGGAATCAACTGGTTACAAATTCATAATCCCTTCATTCGTTGGGCTCCATTTTCTCTTACCTTTGACTCAGAGTATTGTAAGGACAATTGTCTCCCTCAAATTCCTATATTTCAATTAAGTCACGAAACTCTAATACCAGAACCATATTCGGATTTTTCCGATGTATTTGGTAAGAAAAAAGCTGATGCTCTTTCCAGAATTCCTGTTAATCCTTCTTCAAAAGAGAAAACTTTCTCAATGTTATCAAACAATAAAATAATTGGACTTACAACTACTATATTGGAGGAACTGAAACAATTATCTCTCAAAGAACTTGAACTACCTTCTACTCCTAAATTGTTCAAAAAAGATGGAATCTTTTATTTCAAAAACAGAATTTATATTCCTCCAAAACTCAGACATAACCTTTTAAAATTAATTCATGATTCTCCCCTTGCTGGACATCCCGGGATAAAAAAGACAATTGAACTCTCTACTAGACAATATTGTGTAAAGTCTTGTCCAGTTTGTCAAAAATCCAAAGCGGAACATCACCTTCCTTATGGATTATTGACTGGATTACCAGTACCTGGGAGACCTTGGCAATCTATTTCCATGGATTTTATGGTGGAACTCCCTCCTTCTCAGAAATACACCACCATCCTTGTTGTAGTAGACCGTTTCACAAAAATGTCACATTTCATTCCTTTGAAAAAGTTACCCTCATCCTCTGAACTTTCCAAAATTTTTATTGACAATATAATCAAATTACATGGATTCCCTGAAGAAATAATCTCAGACAGAGGTTCTCAATTTACTTCACGTTTTTGGAAGGAAATGTGTTCTTCACTTCAAATCCAACGTAAACTTTCTTCAGCATACCATCCGCAAACAAATGGCCAAACAGAACGAGTCAATCAATGTCTGGAACAATACCTTCGTTGTTACTGTACGTATTTACAAGATGATTGGAGTAATTGGTTACCCATGGCTGAATTTGCCTATAATAATTCCATACATTCAAGCAGCAAAATGACTCCATTCTTTTCACATTATGGATTCCATCCCTCCTTGTTTCCTGATGATCCCAAGACAACTTCGAATCCAATGGTTTCTATTCAAAATATGGAAATGTCCTCATTGTTTAATCAATTAAAGAAAAACCTTGAAAGTTCTATGATCTTACATAAACAGAATTATGGCATTAAAAGGAGACTGCCTCCTAAATATAAAATTGGTGACACTGTTTGGCTATCTTCAAAAAATATTTCTACTAACCATCCTTCTGAGAAACTTAGTGCTATTTTCCTTGGACCTTTTCAAATTGAATCCATTATTAATGAAAATGTTGTGAAATTGAAACTTCCTCCTTCACTTAAACTTCATCCTGTTTTTCATGTTTCCCTTCTCAAGTCTTTTCTCCCAGATCCCTTCCATAGGGAACAATTGTCAAAGCCTGACCCCATTGAAGTTCAAGGTGAATTGGAATATGAAATAGAGAGAATTCTTGACTCCAGACTTCATAGAGGTAGCTTACAATACCTTATTAGATGGAAGGGTTATGGAGATGAAGATAACACCTGGGAGAATTCCTCTGAAATTCATGCAAAGACGTTGATTACTGCTTTTCACAAAAGGTACACTCAGAAACCGAGGTAACAGCACCCGGAGTGTGCTCCTTAGGTGGGGGGTCCTGTCATGCGCGATCTCTTCCGGGTTCGGCACTTCCGCATTGCGGAGCCGGCCCCGCCCCCTTCTAACGCGGCTATGACAGTACTTAGGGAGACCGCGCCAGGGAAAAGGTGCTTGGTGATTGTGAGACCTACTTCCAGGTATACACGCCGGCTCCACAAGCTCTGACAAGCCGTCCCAGCCTTTGAGCCAATGCAACGATTGCTGCAAACCATAGAGGATTACTGGAGAACGGATACTTTGCTAATTTACAAGTGGACTATAACTCTGAACTCTTGGAGGACAATTCACCTTAACCTTAAGTATATCTTTCAACTATTGTCTGCAATATCATTTATTAATGAACCAATTCCTGCTTGCTCAAATCTTCTCTGCTTCAAGTTACTAATTATATGGAGGACAACTCCCATCAACTGTTTCTTGCTTTGCAAATACTCTCTGCTACCTGCTTAATGTTTCTATTGAAGATTATTCCCAGCAACCTAAAGAATCTTATTAAAAAAACTTCTCTGAGGAAATTCTTATTAATGAACTTTGTATTGTTTGATAACCTGCACTTTCTTCTTATTGGATTATTGCCTATATGCAATTCATGTAAGTTTATCAATCATTAAAACTTTGTTTGATTCTCAAATTGCCAGCAATCCTCTCTTTTCTTAAAGCTACAGTATTGATACTTTAAAGATTCTTCGTTTCTTTACTATTGTAATTAAGGAGTTCTACAAGCTGCAGTTGAGTTCCAGTCCAAATAACGCAGGTAGCATAACACTCACACACACAGCACCCTTACACATACACACACAGCACACACTAACAGCACCCTCACACACAGCACCCTTACATATACACACACACAGAATACACTAACAGCTCCCTTATACACACAGCACCCTCACACATACACACACAGCACACACTAACAGCACCCTCACACATATACACACACAGCACACACTAACAACACCCTCAGACACACACACACACACAGTACCCTTACACAGCACACACTAACAGCACCCTCACACACAGCACCTTTGGACATACACACACACAGCAAACACTAACAGCACCCTTACACACACAGCACCCTTACACACACAGCACCCTTACACACACACACACACACACTAACAGCACCCTTATAGACACACAGCACCCTCACACACAGCACCTTCACACATACACACACTAACAGTGCCCTCACACACACACAGCACCCTCACACACACTCACACAGTGCCCTCACATACACACAGCACCCTAACACACACACACAATACCCTTACACTCACACAGCGCCCCCACACACAGCAGTGTGTGTGTGTATATATATATATATATATATATACACATATATATACGCGGCATATGTGTTTGTGCTTTAGGGTGCACACCCTTATGCAATAGGCTGCGCACGCCTATGCTTGCCATCATTCACTCCCAGGCAGCAGCATTGTTGGCTGGATCTGAAAAAGTCATGACTCTACCGTTTCTACTTTTGTTGAATATTTCTCTTCACCTATCTCCAAGCTTATAATAAGGAAATGTGGAATGAATGATCTCCCAACAAATGGAACTTAACCCTGACCCTAGTCTCTGGCCTTGTTGACACATGTACGGTACATGAGCAAGATAGGAATGCAAGGACGGCAGGGAGTGGAGTAAATACAGAGACAGATATATTTAAGAGCAGGGTGTTTTAACTTGGGAAATAAGTAAATGCTGCTATGCTCTCTTACTCATTCACTCTTCACGCTGCCACAAAGGGTGGAACACGGATGGGTAGTTGGCACTCCAGTTGCCAGGCCTTTTCCATCAAGATAGAAAGTCAGAACAGATGTATAGAAATTGTGATTTCTGCTTTGGAGTGTGGATGAGAGCATGTTGCATTGGACATTTTTTACACTGCTACTTTTTGAATATTGTGTTGACAACTCAAAGCTTTATCACCACTACCAGGATTAGTCTGTTATCAGATAACAAGTCTATTATGGGAATATGAGGACTGATTTTGGCTGGGACCCAGACCGATTCACATGATGTGGTCTATCCCTTTATCATACTAGGGATCACTGCATTGACTCATGTCCATAAAAGCTGTTCGATCAGCAGGCATTTCTTTGATTAATTCTCTTCCCAAGGGGTAAGCCACTTACCTACCGACTGTAGGACAAACACCTACTGCAAGGGGAGAACAAAAGCATTGTATTCAATGTAGCAGTTAAACGTTTGCAGTAGTACTAATCTGTAATATACACAAAAGAGTTCAAAAGCAAATATAAAACATTCAAAAACATTACACACAGAAAAAAAATAAAAAATTTCTGACCAAGTTTCCATAAGTACAAGAAGTTTAATTCCAATTACCACAAATTGTAGACTTCAAATACTAGGGGATTAAAAGAGGCTTTTTAAAAGGGCCATTCTAAGCGTCTTAACCAGTACAGTGTGCATTAGTGGCACCACCCTATACAATCATATAATTTACAAAAGGTAAATACACTTACCGTGCTCTGTTCTGTCTGCAGGCTGCTTCCGATCTATGCCATTACGCAAAAGCAGAACTAACAAACATTCACATTATCAAATCAGCTTGTGCTAAGTTTAAACATTATTCATTGATTGACAGCTGTCAGGTGTCAGTTAATTGTTGGAAGGTGCAGGGCCTCCACACTGTACACTGTAATGGTTAAATGATGCTTAAAGGGACACTATAAGCAGCTAAACAACTTTCGCTTAATGGAGTTGTTTTGGTGTCTATATCATGCACCTACAGCATAAAATCTTAATTATCTGCCATTTGGGAGTTAAATTACTTTGTATGGGTCACGTGCAGGGGAGGTGTGGCTGCATAAAGTCACACTACACATTTCCTGTAAAGAGATGTAATGTTTAAACTTCCTTTATTGCACAGTCTGTTTAACTTAGATTTATTTTTAGCCACCTGTGTGTGATTAAAGTTCAGTTAATAGAACAGGAGATAGAAACTTAAAGGAATACAATGCAAAGTTGTATTCCTGGCACTATAGCTCCCTCTGCCTCCTCACTCTTTCACACCCCCACCGACGTGAATAAAGGATTAAAAACCCATTATTTACTTACCTTACCCAAGCACTGATGTCTCTCAGCGCTAAGTCGAGGCTGCGCCTCCACAAGCATCCCGCACACGCACATGCAGAACGTGTGGACGTCCAGCAGTTACCAGACCAAAGGTACTTTAGCCACTGGAGGGACTTCCTGGATCCTGTCTGGAGACTTAGTGCTGCAGTGTAAACATTTTCTCTGGAACTGCAATGTTTAACATTGCAGCACTAAGTGCAATAGGGACACTGGACTCAAACCACTTCAATGAGCTGAAGTGGTCTGGGCAGGGGCGGACTGACCGGTCGGGCACTTCGGACACGGTCCGAGGGCCCGGCCGGGAGGGGGGCCCGCCGCCAGGGCCGCCTTCAGGGGGCCCGGCGGCAGGGCTGGATTGGGGGCGGCATTTGGGGACTGCAGGTGCCACCGGGTGGCCGGTCCGGTGGCACACTGTGGGGGGGCCGGCCG